CCCGCCGCTGCACGCACGGCTGATCCCCAGCTTCGTTCTCTTAAAATACCGACCACTGTGCCGGGTGTGCTGTTTCGGTAAGCGATCCCTTTAGCTCTGGTGAAGCGAGGTGGTGGCGGCTGTAAGACGAGCCGTTTTGCAGACAGGTGCAGCGCACTCCGCATTCCCTTTTATTTTTGGCACCTCCCATGCTTGTTAGTTTTCTCATTTTAAGGAAATGCCACATTCTCCTTGCTGGACTCTTTTTCCACTTTCCAAAGCCTTAAGGACTCTGTCTCTGCTTCCCCCCTCAAACATCACCACTTTTTGATACATCCCTGTTCACAGCAGGGCAGCCACAGCTCTGGGGGTCACTATTTACCCACAGACTCACCCGGCAGCGTGGGAAGAGCCTTTATTTATTTCAGTTCAAGGGAACCAGCTTTGGGCTTGAGCTTTAAATGGCTTCACTACCGGGTGTCGGAGGCATTTGAGAAGATGAATTCCCTGCCTCCCTCCAGACATGCCAATTGACTGGGGAGAGGCAGGCAGGCAGAGATACACAGGCAGTCTTCAACTTTAAAGACAATCTGGAAGCTTAGGAACTGGGAAGGTAAAGTTAAAAGAGGTATTTGAAGAAGAAATAGTGTCTCTGATACAGGGATGGTTCGGGATGTCTGGGAGCAGCGAGAGGCTGCTGAAACGTCCACCCGCGTTTGGTGCTGCTTCTACCGCTGGGATTTTATGGTGGTGATCAGAGCAAGGCTTTCGTGGAGCTTCAACACACGGGGTCGAGCTTTCTTCAGGAAAAACGGACAGGAGCTGGGAGAGGAGGATGCTTGGAAGAGAATTCGCATGAAACCTCAAAAGGTGGAGGCAAAGCACAGGCTCGGGGCTAGGACTTCACAAGACACCGGCTTATTTTTGTTGATGGTGATTTGCAGTGCCCCTGGCCACTATACCAGTCTCAAAGCGGGCACCCAAACCAGACCGTGTCCCATATGGGCCAAGTTTAAGCTGGAAACTAGAAGGTTTTTCTTAGTTTCCTGCCCAAATGCCTGGAAATGTCGTGACGATAGCTTATCTTGGAGAATTCTTGGCCTGTGGGACCACAAGAATAGGTTTTTTTTTCTGATATATTGGCTTCCAGTAACATCCCCAGCTGCAATCAAAATAGGTAGAACTGTGAAAAAATAAACACAGAAATCTCAGCTCAGAAAATGTGGAAGTTAAAAATCTATATACCTTTCTCCACACAGAGATGAATACATTTAAAATGGTTTATTTAAAAAGTAAGGATTAAGTACATTATACATGGTTGTGATTATACCAGTAGAACTGAAGCACAGTGGAAATAACACTTTAGAACTGCAGACAGAAATGTAACCTCAAGGGACATGATATATTAGCCCTTGTGGATATGTGATCCATACAGAAAAGAAATATAAAAATAGTTTATTGTTAGATGTACGGGCATATGAAGTGATTTCTCCTTTTACTCCTATCGTGTATGAGAAACTAGGAAGAGAGAGCTGACGATATACCTGAAACTTTGTTTCTTGGAAAATTGAATCTGATCCAATAGCATATTCTTTTTTTAGGTCTGCTGTTACAGTATGTTATAGGATAATACCAAAAGACCGATTCTTATGATATGATATCTGCAGGCCTTGTTGAGAAATGGGGGGTAATTTGTGTTCGATGCTGTCCAGGGAAACCAGAGAGATGTGGAAGAACACATGACTTTTTATTTTTTTCTTTTTTTTTTTTTTTTTTAATTATCACTGAGTGGTTTCAAAGTCTGAGCACAACCTAATTC